ATCTATTTTGATTTAAATGAATGGAAATCAATTGCAATACAATCAATAAGTAACTTAAAAACATTGAATATAGTTATGATAATGAATAATGATCACGAATATAATGATTCAGAACAACAGTATTTCTTATTTGAACGTATTAATTGTTATTTCAATATAGTGAATCGAAATGGATATGAAGATAACTGAAATGAAAACGCTAATTACGAATGACTGCTAAGGTTTCCAACAAAATATTTCTTACATAAATCATTTATTCACTATGTATATTCAATATATAAAAGTGCTGATGTATGTTCGATCATTTTCCGACGCTCTACAACTTTTGATTGAATACTCACTCATACGGAAATTCGTTGAATTCGCATAGTTTTTTGTACCCTTTTTCGTCTCTAAAATTGAAATTTAGCATAACTTAGTTATATATATATTTAGATGTTGGATAAATCCATCTGACGCATAGAACACTTTACAAAAGTTTTAGTGCAAACCGTAAGATCAATCTCATTTTGTAGAGCGTGCTACGCAGAATTTATTGATGAAAATCGCAGGTTTATAGCTGTTCGGAAAAAAAGTTAGTGGGATTTTACTCTCTCAGCAAAAGTAGTGAAAATTTGCCTTTTTTCCAGTTATTTTGACCCATCCTATGAAGCTTACATCGAGTCTCATCCTGCTTCGGAACTGACGCGAATGGCTTTAAATGAAAGAGCATTGCAAATATTATATATACAAAGGAAAAGAAATTTGGCTGATGAAGGGGTTTTGAGATAAGATTAAAGAACCGAGTTTTCTAGAAAACTGAACTAGAGCCTTTAGTTTTTAATTCTTCAAAACAATTCTTTCATGTCGAAAAACCGAAAAATCCTTCGTGTTGGATAAAGTTTGAATTTTCGTCTTATTTGTCGATGCGGACTATTTTTTCATACTATTTTTTTTTGATTCAACATCGAAAACTGAATAGAAAAATCGTGTTTGATCGATTTCGCATGAAACGATCGTCCAACATAGATGTCACTAAATGCATCTATAACGTGCGAATAAGGAATTTCATAAAGATGTCTAGTTTTTTGTGTGAAGAGAAGCAAAGCCGTCATTTATACGTTATTAGATTCACCAGAAGCTCAGCTTCAACGATATATGAGCGTTTTTCGAAATTCGTTTTAGAAAAATCGTTTTTTAAGAACGATTTCAGTTTTAGTAATACTAAAAGTAATACTAAAAAAGGGGAGAAAATTAAAAACTATATTTTCTTCATCAGCTCAAAAGCTTTGTCGAATGGTCTATGATAAGTTCGAGACAACTCTTTCTTTAAGTTTGAATACGCGCGCCTTACCGGCCTCGCAAATAACCGTGATGCTGCTGAATCAACATGTAAGCTAGCGTAATAAACTCTTTAGTTCAATTAGCTAAATGTTCTAAAATATTTAAAGCGGTCTTACGGTTTTCTGTCTCTTTCAAAACAGGTGACCTTTGTGACTCACCAATCAATCAACGAGTTTTTTGTGAGCTCAAAATCCTGTCCTTATTGGAAATCGAAGCTCCATCCACAAAATGTATGGTGAGATTTTCGATTTTGTTTTTTCGATATCTCGATAAATAGCACTCCGATCAAGATTAAACTTTGATCATTTTTTGACCTCATGAGGTTCGATATTTCGTAAAAAGATGAACCCAAAATATTGCATCATCGAGGAGAAATTTGAAAAATACGCGAAGATGTCCGGTGAGATTTCTGCATGCTTCTTTTCAGTGAAAATTGAAATGAAATTCAACTTATTATATATCGTTCGATTCATCACTTCGTAAAGGTTTTCACTCGGTCCTTGCAGTTTGTTCTGAAAACTAACATTGCCACAAGTTTCAGCATAGTCGATAACGTCGATGTTTACATTTATTTCTAACAGTTCCAAACTTAACGTCAGAGGAGTCCTCAGGCTTTGGGAAAAACGCCGATAGCTTCCGAACCATGGATTTTCGAAATGTTGCTTCAATCCAGTTTTGTAAAGGACACTTCGAACTATATATCTATGAAAAAAATTGACCTATTTCAGTGTCTGTTTTTAGAGATCCAAACTGGTTTTCCTAAGATCTACTGAAAGATCGGCTTCAGGAATTTTTCAACAACCGCCTTTGGTTGTGAAAGACTAGCCTCAAATGTCTGCTTTTGATTATTGAAGATTGCAACGTTCTATCTTACGCTGTTATTGACTTGTGTCCAACGAGATAGCGAATCCTGGCACAGATTATATAAATTTTCTCACTTTGCTGTAAATAGCACATAGAGATTTGGAAGCAATTTGTGATTTTCTCATCAGTGATTCGGTGAGATGAGAATGGTGAGGTGTGGATTTGGTTGACCTGGATGAGTTCTACTTTGGTCCTTCACGAATGGACTGGTATCCAGAAAGATAGCGGATCGTGGCACAAATTATTTGAAATTTTCTTACTTTGCTATGTATAGTATATAGGGATTGGAAAGTAATTAATGATTGTCTCATCAATGATTCGTTGAAAAGGAACAAGTGAAATGTGGCTTTTGTAGACCTCGATGAGTTCTACTTAGGTCCATCATCAATATATGCTGTATATTTGAGAAAAACGAAAAACCTTTGTGGTACTATTCGCTGTCTCGCTGGATACCAGTAGAACTCATGGAGGTCTACAAGATCCGCACTTCACCTTGTTCTTTGCACCGAGTGGTTGATGAGAAAATCGCTTATTACTTTGAACTCTGTATATGCCAGATACATCGAAGTGACAAAAATCAAATACTTTGTGCCACGATTCGCTATCTCGCTGGACAAAAGTCCATTCGTCATGGACCCAATAGTACTCATCGAGATCCACAAAATCCACTATTTACTTTTAATTCTCTATGTGCTATATACATCAAAGTAAGAAAAATTAATCAGTTGTTGCACGATCTCTGTTCCACACCCGTCTTTTAGTTTTTGAAGTATGTGGCAGCTTTTTAGTGTGTAGGGAAAGAGTTACATATAGAAAATTAAGATCTTATTAACCCTTTGAGGACGGAATTTCTTTCCAATAGGAAAAACAATCTTCTATCATTTTATTTCATCTTAACGTAGAATAGGCACATCAAAATCCGATGGTACTCAAAAAAAACAGTTTTTGTCATCTTTTAAACAAAATGGCAATTTGCAGGAAAAACACTCGATATTAGATCGCACTTCTGCTTCCTTGGTGCTGCAATAAGCACATCTTCTTCGTTTCCCTTTCACAGGTAGATGCACATTATTCTCAAAACTAAGAGTTTTGGGTGATGGTAGTTTAGACTTCTTTTCAGAGGGAGGTCTTCCACGATTGGTTCTTTCGCTGCCGGAGCAAAGCGATTTTGCCACTAAAACCATATAGTTCAAGTGTGTTATCTTATTTTGAACTAACTGATTGTAACAAATAAACGAATTGAGAATGGATGCATTTAGAAAATAAACAAAGATCCGAATCCAATTTCTTTTAGACTTGCGGTCGATACTGTACAGCGTTTATAGGTGCGAATCACAGTTCCGAGTTGCAGAGAAAAACGCGCAAACCGAAATACTGGGAAATGAACTACTATCTCTAAACGTTTAAATGCCAAAGGTTGTCTTTTTGAAAGTGTTAAAACGCGCATTGATTTCTGGCGTTTGTCGGTGAGAATCGCGGTTCCCGAGTGACAGGGGAAACAGTGAAAAATGAACTATTATCTTTTAACGTTTAAAGGCCAAGGGTTGTCGTTTTGAAAGTGTTTAAACGCTCAATTATTTGCAGTGTTTGTCGGTGAGAATCGTGGTTCTCGAGTGATAGAGAAAAACGCTGAAAAATACTAAGTGTGTGAAATTTGTTCGTTTTCATGCCCACTTTTCTCGTTCGCTTGACTCTGCTAGTCGGGAACCTCGAGTAGCGCCGAGAGACGACAACTTTTTTTGTACGTGTTAAGACGCGTTTTTGAGGGTTGTCTGATTGCCTGGGTACAAGTCGACTATGCTGAGAATTTTGCTATAGATCAGCAGGATGCCATTCAGTCGGCTCACTGGAATACAAAAACCCTGTCAATTTTTACGGCGCACGCATGGCGCGGAGCGAACAATTACTCGTTTGCTTTGGTTTCCGACAACGTCAATCATGATAAATATTGCGTACACGTATGTTTGAACTATGTCATTTGTCAACTAAAGCAGTATTTACCGGATTGGGAAGAGATTATATTCTTCAGCGACGGGGCTGCATTTTTGCCGTTAAAAAGAACAAAGATCTACAGCAGACCTGTCTGACAGTCTAAAAATGGTGTTTCGACCATAATGTCGAAAGGGTTGAAGCAGAAAACTTGATATTTATAGCAGTGTTGGTGGACCATGTGACCTACTAGTTGAAGTAAAAAATATCTTACTTTCTCGCTCTCTTTAGATGAATAGGAGTGCTATGTCAACTTTTTCATGAAAGCCTTTTAGGCCCAATAACACCAAAAAGAAATATTGACCTTCTCGAAACCTTTTATTGACCCATTGAAAAATAAAAAGTTTTGTCACAAAAAATGCTTACCCTAACAAAATCTTTCATTTGGTATAAGATAGTAAGGGTTTGGGTGAAAGAAATTCTGGAGGCCGATTTACGACCTTATACGCCTCCGTCCTTTAGAAAGACAGATTTGTTGGTTAGACCACCAAGAATTCTTTTCTTTACTGGAACCGCATATAGTGACGAGATTAAATTAAAAAACGTATTGCACCTTTATTGAATTTTAGTTCTTCTTGGTCCTAAGATGTGAAGGGGCTTATTTGTATCCGAATGAACTAGACGGTTAACTACATCCATGGTCGCCTGAATGCTATTGAATGTATTTTTCTGTCAAGTTACAAAGTACATATAAACCAAGCCAGCATCTAAATCATTGCACCGCCAAACACTACCTATATCTGTATGAAACAAATTTTATTTTGCATGAGTTACAACAGCTTAAAGAAGGTGCACCACTCAAAAACAAGTCATTCAGAGTCTATTTATGTTGTATCGTTTGTATCTGTTGATGTTGTAAAAAGATGTTCATTTTTTGCACCACGAATATCTTGCTCAAATTTAATAAAGTCAATATTACCCCAATTTCCATAACTAATACCTTTCCAACTTGGTTTCTGATTACACATTTCACTACGAACACATCGACGGAATTCTTTTGAACCAAAATCAGTCGGCCATATTCTTTGAGACAAACTGAGAAAAGCAAGAATTTTTTCGATAAATAAATCAGGTAATTCTTGTTTATTTTTTGACTTTGTATTATTCAGAACACATGTCTTCCTCAGTAGTTTGCAACAAGATTCATAACTGACAAGAACTAGATTATTGGTTTCTAATGCAGGCGATTGTAAAATCGGTTGACGAGGATTAACGATGAAGAAGTTAATGAATGTACGTCGTCTAGATCTTTGCGTTCAATTTCGAATTGAACAGAAACGATGTGGTAATGAATTACTAAATACAATAGCAGTATCAGTTTTTGGCATTGCATAACGATTGACATCTTCTTGAAAACAATTCCGTGAATAACGCAACCTCCAGTCTTCTTCGTCGCCTAATATTACAGGTCTACCTGGACCGCCATAGTCGGCATATGGTAATTCTGAAGGACGAAATTTGAGCGCACCACCTTCAAGAGCTCTATCAATGTGAAGATAGTAAACACCAACAGCAACAATATTTTCTTTATAACCTTCAGTATGCCAGCGACCCGAATATTTTATACCTTTAAATTTATAGAAACAGAAAATTTTGAGAGTTTGTTACAGAGGAAGCAATTAGCAGTTTCCAGACTTTGCTGCACTTAACACTGGAGCATATAGATAACGGTTTAATCATACATTAAAAACGCAGCACGATTCGACCTATACTCTGATAACTTTAGTAGATCTTGAAGTCTAGAAAAACTAGTATGCCATGAAATGAGGTTTTACACAGAAAGTTGGAATTAGTTTCGAACAGGATGAGGTGTGTGTTGAATTATTTATCGATTTTGAATTTTTCGAATATCAGAAATTGAACTTATAATGCATTCATAGAACCTCAAAAATTTATTTTGCTGGTGTCAGATTCACACTGAGTTCTGTCTGAGTTGTCAACAACTTGAATTTAGATGTCCGTTTGATAGTACTTTTTGCCGAAAAACAAGAAACTCTATTCCGAAATGAGAGGCATTTAAACTTACCTGGTTTTACATTATAACTTTGTACTTTAACAATAACCTGTAGTCGTGTATCAACTTCACCAGTATTCAATACATTCAATTTCTTAAACATTGGTACAAGTTTTTCAAATATTTTCTCCAAATTTCGATATGCCTGTTCATACTGCTCATTCATCGGTAAATGTAAGATTGGTGTTTCAATATGCACTTTGTATTCAACTAAACCATTGCTATCGGAAGGAGAAGGACAAATACGAAATTCACTCGGTATCCACCGGTAAGTACTACGTAGAGGCAGCCGTTCATAGCCAGCCATTGTTCTGAAAAACAATAACGTAAGATCAGAATTGTGATTAGTCTACATATATGATGCCAGCCGAACTAAATCTGTGTGAAAAGGAGCTCATCGGATTGACATTGCTTCTAGGCTAGCCGGAGCTGATAGCTTGAAATATATTGTCCTAGTGACTTACTAGTCAATTCAGTGATGTTATTAGTAGTTACAGACGATGTAAATCAGTCTTTTGGAGGGCCTTCAACGACAAAAAATGTATATCTCAAACCAGCTCGACAAGACGGTTCTACTCATGTGTAAGTTATTGAAAAACGATGTTGCATGTCATTGTTGGCTTTCATGAGTCTTAAGATTTGCAAGAAAACAAAGTACTTCTCTTGAATTTCAAATTCAGTTGAAAAATCTGTTGCTAAAAACACACTGAAGTTACTTTCAAAGCGAGCAATTTTCCTTAGAAAGTAACACAACGTCTACACAAGTGTGCACACGCCCTCTTGAGTGTGAAGTATGTAGTTTGTTTACAGAAAACAACATACAGACTTAAATGGCTAAACACATGCCTATTCGCGAACAGTGCCTGCATCCGATTGAATTAGACTAAAGATATTCCAGCTGAAATCTTCACCAATGGATCGAATCGAAGCTATCAAAGTTTTGCTTAAATAACAAGATTTGCAAGCACGTCGTGCTTTGCGCTTTTTATCGCTTGCAGACGAGTCTCTTAGTGAACAAGTACGATTCTCTCACTTTATCTCGCAGCATTGCTGTACCATAAACATTTCTACTTTCTCTCGTGACCAATACCAAATCTGTACGTTTTTTATGCTAGAGAACCAAAGCTTTAAACTTTGTGTCTGCGTAACAGTGAACTAAGGTGAATATATGTGAGTCTGTCACTTTATCTCAAACTCAACGAACATACATATCCACAAACATTTTTCTTTTGTATGATCCTAACTTTCACAGCCAAGGCACTATGCTATCTTTTCGCTCGATACAGAATTTGCTTTCAACGAGCTGAGGCCCACTACGAGTGTGATCTATCGCTCTTTTGCCAACTTAGCGAAAATCATCGACCTGAAAGTGAAACGAGGTTCGGTGGTTCGCGTTACTTTATCGAATTTCTAACTTATAACTCGGTAAACACTTACCCAGACCGCGGCTTTGGTTCGTAATATCCACTAGAATTTTGTGTTACTCCATCGGGTTGATATACTAACAGATCCGGATCGATAATATCTTCAACTGGCGATGGATAATCATGAACATCTTGTCGCTCTTTATTCAATTTCTTGAATGTACGCCATAACTCATGACGAATTTCGCTCATTTTCTTACCACAAACTTCGTCACATTGCCATATTGAATATTCAACAGCAAAATATCTACCGTACATACCGTCACAAATTATTTCTCTAGAGAATACCTTCTTAAACGAGTGCCCCTCATTGTCAGAAAGATTTTGATCATAACTGTATAAAGTGTGAGATTTCTTCGCACTTTTTAACCATTCGCCATTATCCGACAAATAATCACTTCCACTGTCATCGTCGTTTACTGCTTGCTTTGCCATACGAGAAAAAAACGAAGTAAGTTATCAGTATAAATTAAAACAGTATTCGCATCTCTTACATAGTTTTTATTTTTTTTATTCCTTCACGTTAAAACGTTTGCGTAGTATGTCATCATCATACGAGCAGGGGTTGTTTTTTCTGAATATACTGCACAGTATGCACAGAGTATGATGTGTAATTTCATAATATTATTGACTCAAGAATGACAAATAATGCTGGTTTTTTCTAAGCACTTTCGATGCAATAATGATACAAGTTAGTGGAATTACAACAGTTCCGTAATTTCAAAACGTTTAGCTAGACATTAAAAGGAAACTCCTTTTGCTTGTTGATTTCAAAGAGAGAAAGCGAGTAAGATTAATGCTTGTTTCAGTAATACTCTATTTAATAAAATTTCAGAGAATTTCTATCATTTTGCTTTCTCTTTTCCAAGTCCATCATGGCCGATGCCAAAATTTGAAAAAATTGACATCGAAAGTTCTACTTCTTCATTTCTTATTCTAGTTTGAATCACTTAATTGTGAGCACACGTACAAGCATAGAAGACGAGACATCTTGTATCTTTTGTCGACGAGAGAATTGAACCTTCCGATAGAGCAGAAACTTCACAGCATATACTTCAGTTAGCCAGAGGATATATAAGATACTTCGCTTCAGAATAAAAAAAACAAGTCGCCGACTGTCATTATGATTGAATAGCTGTGCAATTCTGCCTTATTGTAAGAAATTATTTTCATCCAAGCAAAGTTGTGGGGCAGTAAAGCGATTTTCGTCTATAGATGGATCCAAAAAGCACTCATGTTGACCTTTTTTTGCTTGAAAAGTCCATAGCCACGGGACCCAGAAAACTTGATCGTTTTACGGTCAGTAGGAGCAGATTCTAAGGAGTATTTTTTTAAAAATTGTGAGAATTCGTCAAGCAGAAGTTGAGATACGAGTCTCTTTGTGTTCGGAAAGCAACGGTACAATACAGGTGCAATTCACTCATATATGACTTACATGTAAACGCCAAGGTGTTATTAGTGCGTATTTGTAAGATAACTAGAATTTTGATGAATTCTGCATGTCAATGTAGGGATATCGTCTTTAGGAAAACTATTACAAAGAAATTCTGCATTGACACGCAAAATTTTAATATTATGCAGTGTACATGCTATCTCATGCAAGAATTTAGTTTCTTCTTTTATGTATATATATTATTCGTGGAAAATGAACTTGCATTTAAACAAATACACTATATTGACTGAAAAAGCATGTTGATTCCTTCAAATTCTCCGATGGAATTATCATTCATGTACAGGCATGTCTCATAATCATCAACGATCATTATATCCTCCAGTTTAGGTTGGACTACTAGTGTAAGTAGACGGTCGAATGGTGAAGAAGTTCGTCTTCTAAAACAAGTATGTGTATGTTCGAATCTTATCTCTGGAAAAAAAAACTCCTGCGTGTTCATGCATGTTTGCCACAAGTGCTTTATTTTTTGACTATTCTAATATTTTCTTGCATGCACACGCATGCGACAATAGTAAGCGTGCACATGCGCCAACTTCCATGCTTGTAACCGCGAATATAGTGTACTCTCTGACGCGTTCACACGCATGCCATGTGATAATAATCCATGCATGTACACGTATCGATAATGCTGCATGTACACGCGTTTTTCAAGCTTTCGCGTCTGACTGGGCTATCTATGACAATTCAACAGAGACCTCTCTTAACTAGAGAACTGCGGAGTCGACTTTTTTTATTCCGATTCCAACTCCGACTCCGTTTTTTGCTTCTTTTTTAATTCCGATTCCGGCTCCGACTCCGGAAAATTCTTTTTTTTAATTCCGGTTCCAACTC